TCCGCATTTGTTGATTGAAAAGGTAAGCTCCGCCCTCGAGACATTCTCGATTCTCGAGGCTGATCAGCAGCGATGGCTGTTCATTTTCGCAATAGTGGGCCATGCCCACTTACAAATCCCATTTTGTTAACACATGCCTAAACTTTAGCTTTCTCCTGACTTTCTTTAGTAGTTTACTCTTACAGTCTTACTGGGGTTACTTGGTTTCTCGGACCTAACGGCTTTTGCGTCATTGAACTATGAGGTCTGGAAGGAGACAATTCAATTGTTTGGGAAAGTAAGCTAACAATGTAGCGAGTTTATATCGTATGTCACTATTAGTCTTATGCCACTTGCAACAATCTCAATAAAGTTAGTAGCTAGCATCAATTATTAAAAGAGCTAGATGTGTTTATGTTTCACAGCGATCCTATGTCTATATCAATCACTCATGCCTAATGCCACATTCACCCATGATAAAACAAAACGCTTCTAAATCATCAGACTTTCCTATCAATAACGACTCCTGTGACGCGCTCTGTGCAAGTAAGAACAAGGGGCAAATATTGACAAGCTTACAAAGTCAAAAATAACAATTTTCATCATTTAATAACTTGCGAGCTAACGCCGAAGACGTGCACGTTGAATGTAACACTGATGAGTTCGATTCGTGCATTACAGATGCTAATTGAGTGTGTGATCTTATTGGGCGTTTTTGTGCTTCTTTGTTCTTTGCTATGTGCTGCTGCGATCATAGCCATGTGGAAGAGTCGAAGTTCGACGAAGTTAAAATGTTTCTATTACCGTTGTTGCTGGAATGAGGTACCCTTTTCGTGCTTTAGTATAAAATTACTTGCTCAGCGAAGCTTTAGACAGCCGATATCGTGTTTTGCTATAAAACATTGATACACAATGAGATTAAGACATCTCGCGCCCTTTTAAAGTGCTGTTTATTGTATGTGTTTTTATCAATATTGTATGTTTTGTTGCATTCGTTAGCGTCAAAAGGAGAACTTGAAAACTCCGTATGATTAGTTTCAGAATTTGATACTTGTTAACGCAAACTAACACATCAAACATTTTTTAAAGCTTACAAGAGGTTACAAGGAAATGGGGCACGGCCAAGGCAGGATTACTGACGAGATCAATGCTTATCTGTTCCAAATCTCGTTGACCAAAATCACCTCAAAAGATAGTTTGATTATTGTTTTGACAGTGAATCTATTTCATCCTAATCGATAATGTCATGAGACTTTTTCAGAGTTGCATCAACTTATTTACACTTACATTTTTCCTAACGACTATGTATGTGAGATATTTCTCTATCACATTTCCCACGTTCTACTATCTCAATCGCTTTACGTGGTGGACAAAGTTTGCGCAAGTTACTCAAGAGCACGTCTTATATATACAAATCTTGAACGTATTTCTTACCGTTGGCGGGCGTTTTTGCACCATATGCTTACCATTTTCAAAGATTACTCAAGTGAGTAAAAGTAGCAGAGTTACAAAGTGGTCATTTGAAATGAGGTTTGAAAAAACAATGATGCCAAATTTTATGACCGCTATTAGTTCGATATATGTCTTGTGCGAAAGTGCATTTATACCGCAATAATTCTTCCTGCTACAATTCCTAACTACGAGGCGAATGTGATAGCGCAAACCAAGCTCTTCAAGGTTGAGTGTAAACATATGCATCAAGTATGAAGCTCTGAGCCAAACACCAAAAAAGCCGGATACCGGATAATCGAAAAAAAGCGAAACTTTGTCCGGAAAAATCTAACAATCCTTCACGCCAAAACACTCCCGTCAGACATTGATATTTATAAAGTGCGGTTCATAATTATACGAACACCCAAAATTCTGTAAGTTTTTGGACTTTTTGGGAGAAACTCAAAAAGCCGTTGGCACCACGCGAAAGAGCACAGCCGTAAACGGTATATGATCCATAAGAATGGAAATTGATGTCAATCTTAGAAGTGTTTTTGCGCTTAATGCAAATTTTTAGCGGTTCATAATTATACGAACACCTCAAACAAAGGTCCATTTTTTATTCAAGATTGCAATCATTGAGTCCAAATTTTTTGTAGAGTTACAGTAACAAAGTCTGACATATCTGCACCACACTGAACCCAGTGCAGTTCTAAAAGAGGACCGTTACTTTTTTCAAAAGGCTCTAAATGCTTTTGGAGTGATTGCGCTCCAAAAACATCCGTTCTTCTGTGGTTTACGCGCTCTGATTAGCTTCTACCAAAGCTATGAGATAAAATAAGCTCTTTCGATAGGTATTTTGTTTGACGCTTGGAAAATCTTTGCGTTTTCGTGTCGTTTTTCAACCAAGTTCCAACCTTACCACAGAGTTAGCGCGATTTTGAGCCTCAAAACTCAGCTTCTCTCTTGCGCAAACATTTGATATGAAGCCGCTGCATTGTTTGCATGATGGTGTTTCTGTGCCAAAGTTTTTGGGTTTTTTGTAGAACTAATCTTGAGGCTATGGGGCTAAAAACCGAATAAAGGTGTGATTGCAATAGTAAAAACAGTGTTTTTGGTGAAATGACATCTGCGTGGCCAAAACAAACGCTCAGCGCTGCTGATTTTTCCTAACCAAATAAACAGTCTTGTGAACTTCTACATACTATGTGCTTACTTTATTGTACGGCTTCAGAAGCTGAGTTTTGAGGCTTAAAATCGTGCCCACTCTGTGGTAAGGTTCGATCTTGGTTGAAAAACGGCACGAAAGCGCAAAGATTTTCCAAGCGTCAAACACAATACCTATCGAAAGAGCTTCTTTTATCTCATAGCTTTGGTAGAAACTAATCAGAGCGCGTAAACCACAGAAGAACGGATGTTTTTAGAGCGCAATTACTCCAAAAGCATTTAGAGCCTTTTGAAAAAAGTAACGGTCCTCTTTTAGAACTGCACTGGGTTCAGTGTGTAGCATATATGTCACACTTTGTTACTGTAACTCTACAAAAAATTTGGATTCAAATAATTGCAATCTTGAATGAAAAATGGACCTTTGTTTGAGGTGTTCGTATAATTATGAACCGCTAAAAATTTGCATTAGGCGCAAAAACACTTCTAAGATTGACATCCATTTCCATTCTTATGGATCATATACCGTTTTCGGCTGTGCTCTTTCGCGTGGTACCAACGGCCTTTTTGAGTTACTGTCAAAAAGTCCAGGAACTTCCAAAATTTGGAGTGTTCGTATAATTATGTACCGCACTTTATATACTGTGTTTTTCCCTGGTTGAAAATTAAATGAAAATTTCGATGGTTTTCCCAAAACAATGCTGAGCCGATCCCACATCAGTAGTTGTATTAGCCAGATAAACAACCGCGAGTTTTTGGCTTTTTGCACGGACTAATTATTGTTGAAATTAACAAGACAAACTCCAGTAAGAAAAGCTAAGTTAGATGCTTCTAGAAGGATAGCTCTTGCAGAAAATGAAAATACACGATTTCACTTTTGACCTATTGTTGTTAAATGGCGCGGATCACCGATCTACCAATCTTTGGTGGGGAAAAAACCAATTCAATCCTTTAGTAGAATAGAATACCGTAAGAAAAGCTAAGTTAGAGACTTCTAGAAGGCTAGCACTTGCAGAAGATGAAAATACACGATTTCACTTTTGACCTACTGTTGTTAAATGGCGCGGATCACCAATCTACCATTTAATCTTTTAGTAGAATAGAATACCGCTAGGCGGGGAATCAAGACAGCGCAAGGAGGACGCTTTCGGGAGTCTAGAGGAGAGCTGTTTGAAAAAGACGCATCTTCCCTCCCACCTCCTCCCCCCCCCCCCCCCTTTAATTGAGGTGAGAAGATAGGAGATGTTGAAATATGCTGGTACACCCCACTCTGCAATTGATAAGCCCTGTACAGAGTGTTGCGAAAAATGTGCCTACTGTTCGACTGTTAATAACTCTTTCGTCTTGGAGTCTTTCGAGACTCTTTAAATAACTTTATAAAGCTGGTTTCAACTTAAATTAACAGTACGGAGTAAATTACCTATTTCCTTTCATTACTGTTGGATTACGGTAGGAACTCGCAGCACGCTGCGACGCCACTGCATAATTTTTTGCTCGTAGAGCTTTTTGAATGGCTTGATCAAATTTTTGACGAATTTCAGAAATTGGTTTACGCTATCTGGCATGACTTGTGAGAAAAGTACGGTGAAGTGTGAGTTTCATATTTGAGATTAGCTCACATTAATCTAGTGTGAAAGTTTTCGGCTTCTTTAGTCCTTTCTCTTCAAATATGACCCTCAACAACTCAAAACCGTCCTTATATACCGTAATCCCACAGTAATGAAGAGGGAACCGTAATTCGCTTCACATTGTAAATCTAAGATAAAACCAGCTTTACAAAATACCAATTGAAGCAAGACTACAGGACAACATAATTACTAACAATCAAACAGTGGCACATTTTCCGGAGCATTCTGTACAGGGCTTATTGATTGCAGAGTGGGATGTACAGCATCTTCTAGCATATCCTATCTTCTAACATATCTCTCTATAATAAAATGCCAAAAACTTATCATGGTTGAACATTAGTTTTACGGAGCAAATAAGCGTCTATTCCTTCACAGTAGAGAATCTAAACCCGATATAGTCTACAGCGCCCAACGAATTGAAAATAGCGTCGTTCAGAAAGCATAGTTCAAGTATACCAACCAACCCACAAATATTCGCATATCGCTTCCACAACTTGGTATGTTACAATACAGCCACAAGTGACTCAAAGATAAGTTATAACGCGTTAAGTGTCAAAAACTTCGTATAAACCTCATTTTGAGTGATAGAAAACCACTTTTTGAAGTTATGCGGCGGTCTAACCAGGTTACTTGACAGAATGTTGCAGACTATTGAGCAAATCAATAAATGGAAGATATTCGTACTGCAAACGTTTCTTCCTACTGCGACAGCAGTACCTCTATATTGCCTTTATGATCATGGGTACGGGATCAGGGGCATTACAATGCCACTTTGGCTGAGTGCTGTCGACCCAACTTATGACGAGGTTAGTTGCCATGAAACCAAGAACAAAGCATGTAGAAATATTTCAGGTTATCTATATCGTCGCTTTAATCTATCGTTCTGTCGCATTTGTGCTTTCATTTCTCGCTTACATTTCTATGTTTTGCGTAGTGCGAAAAAAAGCGTGTGTTCACATTTATTATTTTTGTCTTGGATCTGGTCTGGTGAAAACTGCGATGTAATGGAAAGGGCACAAGTTTATTTATTTTTCTGTCTGTCATCTAAACAGAAGGAGAAGTGCTCAAAAGTGTTGTCAACTCTGTGTAATATGCGAGCAGCTCATATGTGTATGCAGGTTCCCCAAAAGCTTTTGAGCCCAATTTTTCAAAGTAGTAACTCTGTAGCACTCCTCGTTTTTTAGTCAAAAAATTTGCGTATGAGTTCTTTGTTTGATTAATAGTTTTCAGGAGAATGATACCGTTTGCGATGTACATTTTCAGGTGTGGTTTTTAAATTAAACAATACTATGATTTTGATTTTGGACCAATGAGAATTCATCCTGTTTAAACATATATAGCTCTGACCTTTGTAGCTCTTGGGGAACCTTGCTTTGCAATTGTACAACTAGCTCCACTCTACAGGGCTTATCAATTGCGGAATCGGGTGCACCAGCAGATCTGTTTTTGCGAGCGCCTCGCCTAGGCTTTCACCTCTTTTGCGAACATGCTCTTTGATCATTTTCGCACGCTTGATTAGCCATTGGAACACGGCCTTTTCTACGCTCGTGGTGGGATAGTGATAGAAAGCATGTTTGCAAGGAAGTGCAGATTCCAGGCGAGGTGGCCGCGGAGCGAAGATGCCGGTGCATTCGACTCTGCAATTGATAAGCCCTGTAAAGTTACAATGCGAAACCTATCACCATTCTTTGTTCATTACCGTAAATTTAAGAGATACATAATTGAAGCAGTGCTCGCTGTGAAGAAAATATTCGAAAACAAAACCTAAAGATGCTGAAATCTAACACCTAATCAGTTTTAGTGGAAAATTACTTTATGGTCACTCCGTTTGCGTCATAATTGTTGTTTCCTTGATGTTGTTAAGAACCTAATTGTTACATATTGACACTTTTGCTGAATATCACAGGTATACATTTTAGATTGGTGTGCTCTCAAGTGTCAAAATCTTTGACTTTTCTTTATAATCAGTCATGAAAAGCAAGATTTGCTCAACTCTTCACTAAACTTTGAACAGTCTGGAACGCTTGCTTCAAGGTGTAAGACAATCTTTCATCATCAAAGCCTGCCACGGTTATGCAATTGAATGTAAATAAAATGATGTAATCCCTTAATAGCTAACGTTTCGGCGCTATCGTGTTCATCAGAGCTTGGACAAACTCAAGTCTAAGCGGGACTTGCAAGCTCTGACGAAAGCGATAGCGCTGACACGTTAGCCAATGGAGAGCGTATATCAGTCAGATATACGCTCAATTAGTCAGACTACAAATAGCCACAGTGCCCAAGTTTGAAAAACCGCTGAATATGGACACTGCAGTACAAGATTTTTGGCTGGCTTTTTTGAACTTCTTAAGCTATCTTCATATATTGCCTCACCAATAAAGATGTCATTTGTTGCAACTTTTTCTCCTCTTTCTCATTAGCGTTACTCCTTTATTCAATAGAGCTTTCGGTGATAAAAGCTTGTTTATCCGTAAAATCAAGGCGCGAACATGGCTGCACTAGAAGTTTAAAAATAATATTTTAAACCGATGACTGCTTTGTGATTGTCGCTTTTTATGAAATGAATATTGCATAATGATTGTTTTCTTTCAAGAAACTCCAAGCTTGATTGTTGATGAATCTTGGCATGATGTAGATATTCGTACATGCTTACTTTAGCCGATTATCAAGATTGTAACACGCTTTATTCAGTCGCTTTAGTCTGACTGTATAATGCGTGTTACAATCGTGATCGGCCAAAATAAACACATACGAACTGTTTTTTATATTTTTCGAACTTCATGGGTCTTGCAGTGTATGATGCGTTCGTGTACCACAGAATGTTGCATAACCTCGAAATACACTAAAAACACCCGTAGAAAATGCACAATCTTCTTCGCATTGGTTTTCAATTATTCTCTCCATCAACTACCACCCTTCCAAAAACTCATGCAAAAATCTGAAAATTGCCAAAACGGAATGGATAAAATCTACGCTTAACAGTTTTTAAAATGTTTGCCCGTTTTCGTTTCACATATTTTGTGATAAATCAAAAAAAAAACAGAAGGAACTTTCTAAACGACCTTATATTTCGTTTCAATTGGTTTCTACTAGTGTTTCCCAGGGCTCCTCTATAAGCTTAACTCGTACCGAGTTTTACTCAAACTCCACTATAGCTGGCTGCTTCTAGATCGCAATTGGAAAGTATCTATCCTACGCTGAAAATTACTTTTTTCTGCTTATCTCTGAAAAAATGCGTAAGAATATGCACTTTACGAAGACGTCCCTTAATCAAGGATTAAGAGCTGTATTACCCATTTATTAATGCATGTTGTAGGAATCGCAACGAAATGCGCATTTTGATTCATGGAGGAAGCCTTCTTTCAGCACTGTTAGCTGCTTTGATATGTACGATAGTCGAGGGACTTGAGATAGGACAAGTGCGTTTCCAGCTTTTTTTTACACAAGTGAGCTGATGCTTCTTAGGACACCAATCTTTTATGCAAAATGTCTGCAGTAGACAAAGTCTCATTATGCATTTTACGCTTTATTTCAGGAATATGCACTAATGCGGTTGTTCTACTTCACAACCATTTTGTGGGTTCCATGCATTGATATAGTAACAACTTTCTGGATTACAGCGTCCTTGCGAAATGTTGTCAACCCATTCAAAAAAGCAACGGAGACATTATTCATACATTCGACATTTTAATGTTCACAACAAGTGCTCATCTAAGTACAGCTAACTCGAAGAATGCTGTTGCATTTCTTTATTGATAGAAATTGTAAAGCGATCCTCCTGAAAATGATGATATACTTATTGTTGTTTCACTTTAACGACAACGCTTTATCGAAAAAGCGATACTGTTTATTACTAGCACGGTATCATACCGATGATCGAGAAGCACATACCATATTGCTCATTAGAGCTTTTCATAAAAAATGTGTTTGCTGTATACATAGTGCAGACTTGCTTGAATCGACATCGTTATCGAAGCCTCTTTTAATCAATGCGTAGAAGTTGAATGAAACATAGGTCTTAGTTTACAAAAAATAAAGGCAAGGATCCGATTGTGCCTTTTCCGTTATTTCTAAATATATGATTGTGCCGCGTTTATTCATAGTTTTAATTTGACATTGATAAGATATGTGACATTAGAATGATAGATTGCAGTTTGCACTTGCAAATTCGCATTTCTCCATAAAAATTCCATGGTCGTATCTGTGGCCAAATGTAAACCAGAATAAGGCGTCAAAAGCTAGTTTTCAAGCACCGTACTCGCAACACAAAATCAAACTATTACTTGCGGAGAGCGATATGTATAAAAGTCAAATAAAATCATAACTTTTGTTCGCAAAGTTCCAAGTTGCTCTAACTTTAATAATCTTCATTTCATCATTGGTGGAACGCTAGCAACACCTACTAGCAGCGACTAGAACTTTTGCCCAAGAATGAACGTCTTGAATCATTTTATATCAAACTAGCTGGCTTACCGGCTCCGCCCGGCCCTGTCAATTCTATGATTAAGGGCTTATCCCTATCCCTATAGAACCTTTCATTGTGCCCACTTCTACATGCAATTCCCTATTCCCGCTGTGCTAGTAATTAGCATGCCCACCTACTTTCTCAACAACCCCCAGCCCCGTAGCTCAAACTTGGCAAAAAAAGCAATAAAACCGGCAAAAGTAAGGATAATTCTGAAAACTGATGACGCTATTCAGCTATCCGGCCCTAAAATGTTTTTGTGATGGATCTTGCTCAAAGTCGGTACATGGGGATTATTAAAGCCGCTGATAACGAATATCGTAGTCATTTTGCGCGATATAGCGCCATTTTCTGGGTTTAGTTGGGTACACATAAGAAGCTAAAATCATGGATTTCGCTGAAACTTTGAGGGGGGGGGGCTAATTGACATGCTGATTACGAACATCATACTCCTTCGGCATTTTGAGGCGATTTCACTGAGTTATGGTAGGTATACTGCAGAGGGGGGAAATTTCAGTTTTGGCTGAAACACGGTCTAGAGAGGTTCGACCTTCTGACCACGTCTAAAACACTCTCGTTGCGTTAAACCTTTTCGCAGGATTACGGTAGATACATGGCAACGGGTAAAAATCATGAACCTATTTGAAACCTTGGCAGAAAATTACCTAAAGTGCTGTTTCAAGATTATCGTGCTCAATCCCCACGACAAAGGCAATTCGTGTGATATAAAAGTTTCCCACGACCGTAGTGCTTTCCCTTATAGGACCACTGCCGCGCGCGAGACACCCTTCGGCGGCTTTTGCCTAAGCAAAAACAGGGGAGAAAGATTTGCCGCGTGCGTTACATTGGGACAGGTTATCAGTTTCCTTATAAGACCACTGCTGCGCGCGATACACCCTTTGGCGGCTTTTGCCTAAGCAAAAACAGGGGAGGGAGATTTGCCGCGTGCGTTGCGCGTTGGGACAGTTTATCAGGATGGCGCTGGAGATCGCCGCAAAACAAGCGTTTCCCCGTCTCTTGAATATTCGGAATTTAAATTGGCCCGAAAGCGAAAAAATGTCCATTGAAACCCTGCAACTCACCATAACTTCACTATTGCGTTATGACAGCGAGCAAGCATCATATTCATAAGCGATATACTTGTGAACCGTTACAGGAAAGGTTTTGAGCAAATCTAGAACTTCGACCCATCTACACCCACTGTAACCAAAGAAATTGCACTATCCTGCGAAATCAGCATGATATTCATGTTCAGCGCGCTAAATGACCACCTTAGACGAAGTTTAAAGCAAATCTATGTTTTCGACTTCATGCCATATAACCACCACAACTCTATGAAAAGGTCCCAATATGCAGAGAGAGATGATATTTGTAATTAGCATCGAATAAGCCATATGGACCGAACTTCAGCCGAATTCATGATTTTGGCTTCCTACCGTACACCTATCGTAACCACACGGGAAGACGTTCTGCGGAGAAAGTGTGATATCTGTAATTAGCATGTAAAGGGCCGGGCATACTTCACGCGATTTCAGTGGTCGCTCCGCCCACTTGCATGCTTTATCTCGCCTGCGCTTGTTGCAGAGGGTTCTCGAAACAGGTATTTTTGGGGGTTTCGCGAATTTTCGACTCCATATTCGGAATCAGGGCTTTCAGAAGGCCTGAAGGCGACAAAAACATTAAATTCGAGATCTCGGGTGGACGAGATATGCTCCAGACGATCTCAGATATATCCAGTCATTCTTGTTTCAGATAAGCTGTTTAAGTTCTGTTTGATAAGACATTGGGGTGTTGCCTAAGTCGTTTTGCATGTTAGATCAATGGTATAATTTTTTTAAACATTTTTTTAAGGTCTCATGAAAGTAGAATTTTAAGTTTTGTGTCTGTGTTGAGCACAATCTCGTGGAGGTATTGCATCAAAGTCATTCAACGTGGTGAATAAGGCTTTGAGACTCTGAAATTTTTTTTCAGGATTAGTTTGAGAATTTCTAGAAATATCTTTCCAATCAGGCATGTCTATTTTCTGTCGCATATTGTCAGGCACCATCAGTCTCAACGACCACGACAAAAATTCTCAGACGACAATCAAATGTAGAGAAATGGCTGAAGAATTAACTGAACTGCGAAAAACGGCTGGATTGATATCTAGTATAGGTAGGTTTTCTGCGGCTTATATTATTGATGTATCTCACTTACATAACAGCAGTTTTGTAGGCGTACGGTAGTTCCTTCATAGTTTTTTTTCTGATTTCTAGGAGTCTGGCTAGCAGCCAAATTTGTCGTAATCTGCATGTCTACATGGGCTCTTCATTTTTTGTATTTGGATGGTTCTGGCGTGTTTCGCGAAGTTCCAAAATTTAATTGCATTGATTCTGTTTGCGATGTGGAAAGCAGCACATGACGCTTCAGGAAATATAAGGTGAGTTTATCAATTTTTTTGGGCTTTCGCTCCATCATGCTCAGTAGGTTTTTCGCTTCATTGTGCTCCCCTGTCTTTTCTTTGCGTTGTCCTGTGGTTTGAAGCATTGTTTTTCAAAGTTTTGAAGTTGATAACCACGTGAGAAAACCACAACTTTCCACGTTTGTGTACACCACAACTTTAGAATAAATCAAATTTTGCTAGTAGTGTCTGTGACATATGATAAGTTTTCGGGAAACGCCACGAATGAGCTTTCTATACTAATGGGTTATTTTCAGGTACGTATGCGATAGCTGCCTGCGACCCTACTCCAGAGGCTGAGTCTACATAAAGTAGTACATGACTAGTCCATGTTGATTGTTGCCGTATCAAATCAATTATATCACATCAAGTTCCAGTTACTAGGTTTTAAGTTCCACTTTTGAGTTGAATTGATAGAAAGTTTTGGGTAATTGTTCAAAATGGTATCTGCAGTAGAGCATCGATATTGACGATGATTTTTCAGACATCAAAGTTTTTGTCACTTGCGTTATATGAAGATTTTTTCAAATAATAAAAATCTCGAGTGCTTAAGTGCTTATTTTTTTCCAATTCGTCCAGTTCTTAGGGTTCATGTAAGCATAACAACGGTCAATTGATAGGTTTCCGTCAAGGGTCAAGGAGTACTTCGTAACTTTCTCAAAATTCAGGAGGGACTTCGTTTCTGAAAACCTCAGAAACGGACTCGTGCCGAGCCATGTGCAGTCTGCTGCAGTCTGCTGTGGTCAGTGCAGTCAGCTCCATCTGCTGTGGTCAGTGCGGCATATGAAACATCCCTTAGCGAGCGCTCTGACTCTTGTTACGCGGTTTCGAACATACCCGAGCAAAGGCAACACTCCATATGGCAGAGCAGTCATCGATGGTCTTACCCGTTTGCGGTACTTTCTCTCGGCAAAGGGTACCTACGGGCTGTGCGTCCTTCACAAAGACGTGCGGCCATTTTCTTTTTTTGCATATTCTCGCGAGAATGAAGCCACTGCGCCGCAACTTATCTATAAAGAAGCTGCGATTGTTTTCCGAGCATTCGCCTAAAAACTGGCCAACATTCTTCCAAATATCGCAAACAGACCGCAAGAAATCAGCAAACCTTTTACCGGTGCCCGCTTGCCCATAAATCGCATGGCCGCCTATCTCGGCGATTATCTGAGTAGGTAGGGGCTATCTAGCTAAGTATGTTTCTTGCGACCTCAAAAAACAAAAATTATGATCAGAATTCTATCATTATTCTATTAATATCTAGTAAAGTAAAGGAAGCAGTCACGTCGTTATATGGAAAACCTTTCAGAAATTACTTAAAATTACCCCCTTATCTTTTGATTTTCGTTTTCAGGTTGTGTAAGTGAGTAGTGATTAGTTGGATACATACAAACTTTGCCTAGTTGTGACTTATTTTATGAATTTTTGGAGCCAAAAGCGTGAAGATTTTCAGGCGATAGCCTTGGAAATCAATTTCTCAGCGATACAGCTTGCACGGATATGACCATCTGTTGTCATAGATGGTTGAAAAGTACGGTCTAATGTGTAGGTAGCAAATTAAAACTTTACATTTGATTTCAACTAGTTTCTTAGAGCATGATAGCTCTTTCCCATGGTGTTGTAAACGGAAGCGGTAAAATTTATGGCATTATTATTATTATTATTATATTATTACATTATATTTATTATTATTTTTTTATTATTATATTCAATTATTTTAGTCTTAGGAACAAGATGCGGCGAAGCGAAGTGAGATGTCCCAAGGTAAGTCATCCACAACATGGAAGGGTAGGGTTCCTGCTGCAGTTCTATGCTAGAACCATAATAGCATCTTTCTCTCATCAGTGAAGAATGGCCGGGCTGCCCAGGCTGAACCGAAGAAGCCAGCTAGTTATCTTATAAAATTTAAAACGAGAGCACAGATGTTTAAAGATCGAAGGCTTTTGCGGCTTGAGGCCCATTTTCCCTGCAGAAAGGACGGGTCAATTGCCCGGGGGCAGCGGGGCAAGTGTCTGTTGACAGCAAGGGTCCAGCTGAAAAGTAATCGTCTAATTTTTTTAGAAAAAGCTAGATAAAACTCCTGTTTTCGACTTGCTGGAGCAAACAAAACTCCACAAGAAGTCTGTGCTAGGTTAATGAGGCTTTGTAAGCCTAAGCCCACTAATAGTAAATGAAACTGTAATGTAGATTTGCGGCACTGAAAGTAGTGCAGCAAATGATGAGACGTTTTGGAATAAAAAGCAAGCAGGATATTAGAGTAAACGGTAAAAAGCGGGGCACTTACGAAATACCCGGATGTTTCTCAAGAAAAAAGAGCGATTAGACTCTCCAATTTTAGAGTTAGAATATGTTATTCTCTTTCAGGCAATACCTATAAAGGTCATTTACGTAATTAACAGTTTTTATACTTGCTGAAATAAAAATGAACTTTCAGTATCTGCGCGGTCAAACATATGAGACCACCCAAAGTACCACTCTGGAGTGTGTGGCGGGACGGTCACTGAATCCACGACGGCTTGGTGGCCTCAAATTTCAAATTCAGGAGATATGGCCATTAGAGCTTCGAGAACGAAGATACGCGTTATCCAATTCTTTGGCGAACGCAAATTTCTAAGGATCATCTGATAGAGGTTTTTACGCTCTATCCATTCATATGCAGCCTATCTCGGACTTTAATCATCTTCGAAAAATATAGGGCAAAACATGATTTTTTGGTTAATTCTTGTGCCAAAAATAGCTACCCTAAAATCCCATAGATAAGAGCGGTTCAATTTACCGGTGAAAAATGAATTGGTATGAATTGAAATTGAATGCAGTCACCCCTCTAACTTGATGGATGGATAAACAAAAATCGGAGAAGAAGTTTGGAAGAAGCTCCGCCCCTCAACTCTAAACCCCGCCCACTTAATAAACAATTCACATAGAAATTCCGAAATTCCATTAAAATCGCTATTTTTCTATATGAATTGTTACTAAGTGGGGGGGGGGGGGGGGGTTGGAGTTGAGGGGTGAAGCGTCTTCTAAACTTCTTCTCCGATTTTTAGTTATCCATCCATTAAGTTAGAGGGGTGACTGCATTCAATTTCAACTCATTCCAATTCATTTTTCACCGGTAGGTTAAACCGCTCTTATCTCTGGAATTTTAGGGTATTTTTACGTTTTTTCGCTTTTTTTCTGAAATAAGAAAGAAATCTTGTGCAACATACCTTATGAAAGAGCATGAAGAGCTCTTTCGAATGGTATGTCATTTGCTTTACGATTTTACGGTATAGCAGCTTAAGATTGAGATTTGTTCAAATAACCCTGACTGAATTCTTCATAGCGCCACGCGCCACGGTCATGAGAGAGGAGCGGCAACGCGTTGCCAGAATAATAGGCGAAGGTCGGTTATGTAAACGACGTTTGAGTTGTAGCCTGCTTGTTGTTGGAGAGAACGAAATCAAAGTAATAAAAATCAAGCTGCCCCATTTTTTACCGTTCAGCCTAATGGTTCAAAAATTGCAGCCCCTTTCCTACACACCACAAACGCCTTTTCCCTTTATGTCACCTTTCATCTTCTATACAGGACGCAAACTGTCACTCCTGCCTTATCGATCCCGTTCCTGCAAAAAATCAAAATTCCTGTTTCGACAGATTTGCCGGTTGGGCGCGCGAATTCAAACCTGTCCCGAAATAAACAAAAGTTGTTTACAGCGAAAAGAATGAAATGACATTAAAATTGGTGTAAAGATGGGCAATAAGGAGTTAAGACTATGAACGGAAAACAACGAAAAATTATGTGAACTGAAGACGGGGTAAACTTTTTTTCGGCCAGCCTGTCCAGGTGGCTGGAAAGCCACCTGGACAACCTTCTTAAGTGGCTGTGAAAAGAATAGTCAAAAATTTCCTTTCCTTCACATAATTTTTTCACAAGTTTAACATAACTTTGTTCTACATCGAAAACCCTACAACTGTAAGGCTCGCGAATGTGGGTTTGCATAGGAACTGAGAATGTACGAGCCTTCACGGCCTTCACGATATTCCATCAACGGTTTATTTTCAAGCAAGGGATAACCTCGAGCAAAAGGTGGAGCAACCCATCCATTTGTCTAATTAGTACAAAGTACAATAAAAGAGAACTCCGTGCCGTCGGCCAGCGGCATGCAAGGACAAAAAAGCTGATGAATTTCCTAGCGTCCAACATCTAAGTATTCCTAACTTTCCAGGTAAAAGAAAAAGGACATGGCGAATCTATAAATTGTGATAAGTAACAAAGGAGAAGACTACATTAGAAAAAATGATCGAAAAGAAGGTGAAGGAAAATGAAATTGTGGATGGAAGGACGACCGAAAGCTTAACACTATTGCTTATATAGCATTTTGCTAATGGATAGGTACATACACTAATACAGTCTTCTTATAAGAATTCATACAAATTATATTGCCTAATGGAGTGATACATAGAATTCTATAAATACCCGGAGTTCTTGAACGGCTTCTTTCTCTCTCGGTTATTGGTTTTGTCTTGGTCTTGTTTGGTGTTCATGCAAAGTTGACTCGTGCTGTCACTGTGCAAATATATTGCAAATATAAATAGTGCAAATAGGTGCAAATAAGTGCAAATATACTCATATATGAGTATGCAAACAAAAGCTTTTGGAGAGCATATATTCTCTACATCTACGGGGTATCGAAAGGTTGCGTCCCGCAACCTTAATCTATTGTAAAAAAATAATTCCGGAGGCGATCCATAGTTGTAGAGCATATTGTGTTCTTCTTATTTCCCAGAAGACATTGGAATATGGTTTTCAATATATGATTTCTTCTACGCTATGCTTCTTCTTTGTTTCCGGCGGCCGACAGCTGCTCGTAGAAGTCAATGATTCATCTTTGGTACGTTTCAATCAAAATCCTCTTCTTTCCTCTTTGATTGTACGCACTTAAATTCTACATGTCTATGCGGCTCGCGCCCAAGGCGAAGTAGAATGG